TGACTTTGAGCAGGTCACTTAATCACGCTGGACTCCAGCTCTTTATTTCTGTAAAATGAAAGATGTACTAGGAGCTTTTCTAATCACTGATATCAAACATTAAGTCATTTAACAGCTGTTGGTGGTTCCCTTGTGCCAGACCACCCGCAGGTTGTTGAAGACCAGGTCACTGCCCTCAAGAGGCTCTCCCTGCACACTGGGGACCAGACAAGCCCAGAGCAAGCAGCACCACCCACAGGACTGCAGACACAGAGGCCAGGTCTCCACGTAGGGAAGGACTTGCTGCCCAGTAGCACAGAGCCCGGAGTCCAAGGTCACACCCTTCCTGGGCAGCCACATCCCATGATGCAGAGATGCCAGGGGGATAAAGGCCCAACACAGGACGACAGAGTGCCATGTTTGTTTCAGAGACTGTAGTTGGGCTGAGGCTTTGTAGGGCCTGAGTTGCACTTGGCTTCTCCTTGTTCCTGATCCTGCTTTGCCTTTCCCCTCACAGGTGCCCATCTCTAATCCACATCTTGCCCTCCAAACTCCATCTCAGCATCAACTTCCAGGGATCAGACTGCAGTAGACCCAGAAGGTGGTTCGGGCCATGGAGATGATTGAGTGGTTGGAGGAGGGCAGGGCAAGGCTCAGAGTCCATTCTTGTGCTTTCTCCCTTGCTGCCATTGCTGTGGAAAGGTTGCTCCCTGAATACCTCCTGTCTTAGTTTGCTCTCCCTCCAAAGCGGAGCCTGAGATAAGGCCTGGGGTTCTTGGGTTTGTTAGGTGGCACCAGGAAGCAGAAGTAAGAAGTGAGGAACGTAAGGAGGAGGACAGGTGCCCATCTCTAATCCACATCTTGCCCTCCAAACTCCATCTCAGCATCAACTTCCAGGGATCAGACTGCAGTAGACCCAGAAGGTGGTTCGGGCCATGGAGATGATTGAGTGGTTGGAGGAGGGCAGGGCAAGGCTCAGAGTCCATTCTTGTGCTTTCTCCCTTGCTGCCATTGCTGTGGAAAGGTTGCTCCCTGAATACCTCCTGTCTTAGTTTGCTCTCCCTCCAAAGCGGAGCCTGAGATAAGGCCTGGGGTTCATGGGTTTGTTAGGTGACACCAGGAAGCAGAAGTAAGAAGTAAGGAACGTAAGGAGGAGGAGGAGGAAAATCCACATGGTGGGCACTGTTGAGCTGCCTCACCCCATGGATAATTGGGCTCAGTCCTTCTGGGGACCCTCTAAGGAACATATAGAATGCGCCTCAGGATTTCCTTCTATTCACTGACTCCCAGTCTTGTTGACTAAGGGCTGTTTGACCTTCCACACCCTCCCCCCACCTGCCAGGCTGACTTGCTCTTGGACTGAAGGAGCTCTGAGGGCTTTGGACAAAGACCTGAGGCTGAAATGATGGAAGACACAGTGGGCACTTGGAGTGGCCCCACTGGCAGCGTGACAAAGACCATCTCTCACAACAGCAGCTTCAACAGAAGGGGGCTGAGAGGGTGGTATGGGGCCCTGTGGTTTCTGCAGCCTATTCACTTGGGCCCCTATATTGTGTGGCTGCCATTCCATAATCTTCCCATGGGACACTGAGGCCCAGCTGGGCCATAGACAGGCTTTGGACATGGCATTTTGGACAAAGACCTGAGGCTGAAATGATGGAAGACACAGTGGGCACTTGGAGTGGCCCCACTGGCAGCGTGACAAAGACCATCTCTCACAACAGCAGCTGCAACAGGAGGGGGCTGAGAGGGTGGTATGGGGCCCTGTGGTTTCTGCAGCCTATTCACTTGGGCCCCTATATTGTGTGGCTGCCATTCCCTAATCTTCCCATGGGAGACTGAGGCCCAGCTGGGCCATAGACAGGCTTTGGACATGGCATAGGGAGTGGCAGCGGTGCCTTGCACTGGCCTGAAAACCCAGGGCAGTGCCAGGCCCACAGTGCCTGAATCTCACAGCACAGAGTCTGCATTTGGGCTCAGGAGCCAAATGACATGGGCTTTGGCACTTAGGAGCTGTGAGATGGGATCCTCAAAGTGATGGTCCGAAAGGATGGTCACGAGGCTCACATGCACAGGGCCCAGCACAGAAGGTGGTATGGGGCCCTGTGGTTTCTGCAGCCTATTCACTTGGGCCCCTATATTGTGTGGCTGCCATTCCATAATCTTCCCATGGGACACTGAGGCCCAGCTGGGCCATAGACAGGCTTTGGACATGGCATAGGGAGTGGCAGCGGTGCCTTGCACTGGCCTGAAAACCCAGGGCAGTGCCAGGCCCACAGTGCCTGGGTCTCACAGCACAGAGTCTGTGTTTGGGCTCAGAAGCCAAATGACATGGGCTTTAGCATTTAGGAGCTGTGAGATGGGATCCTCAAAGTCAGCGGTTCTCAACCTGTGGGTCGCGACCCCTTTGGCGGTCGAACGACCCTTTCACGGGGGTCGCCTAAGACCATCCTGCATATCAGATATTTACATTACGATTCATAACTGTAGCAACATTACAGTTATGAAGTAGCAACAAAAATAATTTTATGGTTGGGTCACAACATGAGGAACTGTATTTAAAGGGCCAGAAGGTTGAGAACCACTGCTCAAAGTGATGGTTCGAAAGGATGGTTCACGAGGCTCACATGCACAGGGCCCAGCACAGAGTTTACAGTCAACACTCATTAGGGGTCAGTGTTCTTAGATCTTCAACTGAGTGTCTTTCTTGCAATGGGAGTCTGAACACCGCTTCCTCAACCCACACTACAGCTGTGGGCTATTGCTCTATTGTCCATTATAATAACCTCCACAATTGCAAGCCCAGGAATGCAGACACATTTTCCCAGCTGTGTGACAAGTATTTCCTTCTCGGTCTAATGTGCAAACGGGCAAAAGAGGCATTGTTGACATTAAGAATGGACTTCACCCCTTTCCCACCTCGAGCTTCTTGGGCAAGGTCTGTTGCTAACTCAGAGCTCCTCTGAGGTCACTAAGTGCTTCAGGATAGCTCTTTTAATGCTTGCACCCTTTATGCTTCATGAAACAAACTGCCTTTTCAGCAGTTTTGTTTTATGTTTATTGAATTGTTTATTCTACAATAAACCTGATGAGAAGCATGCTTCATTATTCTTGAGTTCCACCCCAGCAGAAATATAATAATCGTGGATTCAAGCACTTCTGGTTGCTTGTACTAGTATGTTTCATTCATCCTTTAATTCCTCCCCAACCTCTCAGCATCTTGTGGACGCTGGCACACCCCATCCTGGGGTCAGTTTTGGAAGGGGGAGCCCTCGCTGGTTTCAATGCTCTAAAGGATATAAAATCAGGACAATACAAGGGTAAATAGTAGCACAAGACACTTACAGCCAAGGACTCCAAACTCCTGCTAAGGTTCCGGAACTGACTCTGCCACTTGGGAAGGAATTTTATTGGGATCAATAATGTCCATCCCACCATGTAAAGCACTTAGCATAGTGCATGGAACATATAAAGCTGAAGACAAGTCCTGTTTGAACTGTAGCACGATATACTGGAACTGACAAAGGTTTTGAATTTGGACACATGTGGTTGAAATATTGGATGCAATGTATCTAGCATGTCTTCGGTTTGAATTTCAAAACCCCCATTTAAAGTTTTTAAATTTTTCACCCTAGCTGGTTTGGCTCAGTGAATAGAGCCTCAGCCCGTGGTGTTGGGTCCAATTCCATTGAAGGGCATGTACCTCAGTTGCAGGCTTGATCCTCAATCTGGTTGGAGCACATGCAGGAGGCAACCAATCGATGTTTCTCTCTCTCTCTCTGTCTCTCCCCTCCCTTCCACTCTCTCTAAAAGTCAATGGAAAAATACCCTCAGGTGAGGATTAATAAACAAACAAAAAAGCTTTTAAACTTTTCTTCATAACAGGTATTTTTACCCGAGAGGTGCTCCATGCACCTCCTGGTGACCAGTCATTATGGTGTTACGGCGTTAGGGCCACTGGTCTTTTATAATATAGATTATAATTATTCATTACTATGTCCAGGCACAAAGAGAAAGAGAAGGAGAGAAATGTGTATATTGAACTGGGGGTTGGGAGACTGGGAAGGAGGGAGGGCCCACAGCCTCTCTGCTGGCTCTGGCTGAGTGGGATCGTGGAAAGCACCTCCCCCAGGAGAAAGGACACTCTGGACAGTCCTCATTGATGCAGACCATGGGAGACATCGAGGAAATGGTTATGTGAGTAGGATCTTTGGCTAAAAGCTGGGATGGGAGTAGGAGCTGGAGGAGGGGGTGCCATGGTTCTCCAGGGAGTTGAGCTGTGTAGGATGAGGTGGCTGGTGGGTTTATGCCGAGTCTCAGGTCTGAGCAGGTATAAATGAGTTCAGGAACTTGGCATTGCAATGATTATTTTCTATGCTGTGGCTGGAAGGAGGTATAAAATAGAATATTTCTAATGCAACTGAATCTATTCAAAGCACTAAACTTCATTTAGTTTTTATTATGATGTTTTTCAATCCATTTTCAAGAAACCAAAGAGGTGTTTTCTGAAGATAAATGATAGGGTGCAATCATGCTGGGCTCCCGGACTTTCTGAATGCTGGGGTGGAGAGGCGGCCAGGCCTTATCTGGGTGTGAACAGAACTCCAGGGAGAATAGTCAGGGGAGAAAGAAAATGAGATCACTAACACTTTTTTTAGTATTTACTCTCTCTAGGTGCTGCTTCTGCATATGTAATATGTTTAGTCCTATACGATCCTGGAAAGAAGTTTACTTTGTAAATGAGGGTGTGCAGGCTGAGAGAGGGTGAGTAATGTGCACTGTCTGGGAGCCAGCATCCCACAAAGCTGGCTGGGAGGAGGCTTCCCCTGACCAGCAGCCACGACTCCCAGGGAACAGTGTGGCCAGAGCAGACACCCCGCCCCTCTGACCTCCACTCCCATGTGCAGATGCCTGAAGTTCTATGATAGAAACTCAAACACGAAAGGCTTTCATTTGTGATAAAAAGCAACACTCCATTAGATTTTGAATGAAAGAAAGTAAAAAAATCAGGAAGGCTTGTGTTTCTGGTGATATGTTTCCTCCATTTCATAACTTTGTGGCTGGTGGCAGCAAGTCCCAAGGTCAAGGGCCGGGTATCAGTGTTGCTGAAGGAGGAGTAAGGTCTGAGTCAGCCAAGGAACTCGCAGCCCTTCTGGTAAGTCAACAATGACCTGCATACAAATGAGGGAACCGTGATAAGAGTCTGGGCTTTCAGAAAAAAATTTCCACTTCATTTTTACTTCTATGTATAAAATGATAGAGAATGAAGAGGGGAGAATAGCAGATAACGCAAAAGGGTAATATAAGAGCAACAAAACCAACATGCACTGAACAATAGTTTACAAAGTTAACACTGGAGAAGATATTTGCTCTCTTGACATACTCTGGAATTATGGGGGTGGAAATGAGTGGGAGATACTGAACATCTTCTGGCATTATGTAGGAAAATAAATGCGAGAGATGAATTTCAAAATGAGCAAGTTTGGTGGGAAATCATACAATAGGATACTGTACAGCAGTGACAATAAATTAACTAGAGCTACAAGTAGCCACATAGATAAATCTCAAATATATAATGTTGAGAGAAGGTTACATGTTGTATTGTATTGTTACATAAGTTTAAAAACCGTGCAAAACAGTTAGTTCTATAAATTGTTTAAAGGTACATGCACATGTAAGTATAGTCATGCATGGGATGGATAAATACCAAATCCAGGGTGGCAGTTAACTCTGAGTGGGGAGGGAAGAGGATATTTGGGATAAGAATCAATACAGAGAGTGCCCATTGCTTTTGTGATGTTCCTTGGGTAAGCTGAGTAGGGACAAATTAATACTTGATAAATTAGTCTCTATGTGTTTTTTATATCTGAAATGTGTCCTAATAAATAAGAGAGAAGTAGGTGAGAAAGATTAATTTAGCACAGTCATATAAAGGGCAAGAGGGCCATACAGCCGAGGAATGATTCTAAGATCCCCTTAAAATGGTTTGAACAAATGTAGGACCCTATGGTACTGCTTATTTGGCTAACTGTAAAAGACAGCTTAAATGTGACATTTGGAAATTGTTTTTGCTGATGAATCAAACACTTTATATGGCCTAACCTCTCACTTTATGCAAATATAATGCCAGTTACACAGTAGAAAAATCTCTTGTGGGTGATTCATTATAGGAAACTGATGTTTTCTTTACTAGTCTTTTTATCTTGGCAAATTTTAAATATTTTAAATGTCAAAAAGGAGGAAGAACAATACTATATGCTGTCCTTTTGGGGCAGGATAGCTAATTCAACAATAGGAGGCCGGATTCAGGATGAATAGAGGTGGTGCATTCAGTTGTAGCCAATCCCCATCCTTGTAAATTTGTAAAATCAGAAACTTGAATTATTATAAAATTGGAAAATAAAATGGGACTATATCAAATTAATATTTTTATTTATATCTTTAGACTTTTGTCTATTAAAATATCATAATAACCTTTACAACACAAAGAGCTTTTATAAATTCAAAGGAAGGAAAATACACTTTAAAAAATGGAAAGGGAATATGAAAAGACAGTTTACAGAAAGAAACACAGATAACCAAAGACAGTTTTAATTTGTATCTCTCTAATAATTAGTAACACTGAGGATTTTTCATATGTCTATTGGCCATCTGTATGTCCTCTTTGGAGGAGTGTCTATTTAGGTCCTTTGTCCATTTTTTAATTGGATTGTTTATCTTCCTGGTGTTGAGTTGTGTAAGTTCTTTATATATTTTGGAAATTAACCCCTTATCAGAAGTATTATTGGTGAGTATGTCCTCCCATACAGTGGGTTGACTTTTCATTTTTTTGATGGTTTCTTTTGCTGTGCAGAAGCTTTTTAATTTGATATAGTCCCATTTGTTTATTTTTTTTTTCTTTGTTTTCCTTGCCCTAGGAAATCTTTTGGCAAGTTATTGCTATGCAAGATGTCTGAGATTTTACTGCCTGTTTTCTTCCAGGATTTTTATGGTTTCATGACATACTTTTAAGTATTTTATCCATTTTGAGTTTATTCTTGTGTATGATGTAAGTTGGTGGTCTAGTTTCTTTCTTTATTTTTCTAAATACCTGTCCAATTTTCCCAACACCATTTATTAAAGAGACTTTTTATTCCATTGTATGCTCTTGTCTCCTTTGTCAAATATTATTTGACCATAAAAGTGTGGGTTGATTTCTGGACTCTGTTCTGTTCCATTGATCTATATGCCCATCTTGTGCCAGTACGAGGCTGTTTGGATTACAATGGCTTTCATTAATAGTCAAAGATATGCAAGGAAAAACATTGGGGTTTCATTTGCATTTTAAACCTTTTTATACTTATCAAATTGCAAAATGTTAGAAAAATTGAAAAGACCACCTTCCTATCATGACGTTGGTTCAGGTGCATGCTATAGGTATTGTTTTTCTTAGGATAAGAACCAGTTTCATAAGGAGAGGAAAATAGGTCTGCCTTCTGAATTGTCATTGTAATATAACTTAAATTATACTGAAAATTCTATATAAAATATCTCCAAATTAACCTAATATAGGTAGTTTAATTTCTTCTGCTGATCAATCTTTAGATAAGATGTTTAAGAAGTTAATTAAAATATAGCATGTTATCTATGTGTGGCAAGCCATTAGCCATTACCAACTATTAAATCAACACTAAAATTAGTTTATCAGATTAGCTACTAATTAGTCACACACTCTTTTTCTTCAAAACTTTTTATAGTTTTGAGCAGAAAATACAATGGCAATTTATATATATACTTATATATTTACTAGTAACCCAGTGCACGGATTTGTGCACATTGAAAGGAAATTAATTAGAAGGTGGCCAGTGGGGCAGGACTGGGCGAGATGGGTTGGACACACCCTGGAGCCAACCTCCCTCCATCCCTCCCCAGCATCTGCAGAGTGAGCGGGGTCCCTCTGGCAGGTGGGGTCCCTTGGCCTGGCCTGCATGGATCAGGCAGAAACCAGCTCTCTGACATCCCTGAGGGGTCCTGGAGTGTGAGAGGGCACTCTGCAAAGTTGCTGTCCTACAGGGTGTGGAATGCAAATGCAAGTGTGCAATAAACCAGATTTGGGGCCAACAGTGCCCCAGCAACAACATAACCCACAGCTGAAGGTGGAATTGCGCAGTGAGGAATCAGGCTCCCTCCTCTCTGGTTTCGAGGTGCATCACCTGAGAACTGCTGCTGCCAAGTCACTGTAGCTCTATAGCTCCTGCATTGAGTGTCTTCCCCCTGGTGGTCAGTGCACATCATAGCGACCTCCATTAGTATGGGTGGAAGAACACTTAGCAGCCTTTTATATATATATATATACTAGAGGCCCGGTGCACAAAAATTTGTGTACTCGGGGGGGGAAGAGGGAGTCCCTCAGCCCGGCCTGTGCCCTCTCGCAGTCTGGGACCCCTCAGGAGATAACGACCTGCTGGCTTAGGCCTGCTCCCGGGTGGCAGAGGGCAGGCCCAATCCCTAGGTGCAGCCCCTGGTCGGGCTCAGAGCAGGGC